CATGCGTTTTCGCACTATTATTCGATTTTTAAAGGTACTTGGTGTGCAACACAACAGCGACAAACAATTAAGCAAAGCAAATTCGTGTGTTTTTTATTGATTAATTGCTATTTTTATACATTGCGAGAAATAGCGAAAAAGAAAAAGACAGAAAAAAAAAGAAAGAAATCATTTGGTGTCTGAATTTTCACCACAAGAATTCATCAATCTCTCGACGTCCAAACTTTTGTCTCCCCCCTCGCGACCTTTTCCCTTGTTGTTGGTGACTATGCTCAACGCATCTGCCAACTTGGTTGACATTGGTTCGTCGCAATTCGTGGGTGCGCCTCTGCTGGTGCTGGACTCTCCGTTATTATCATAACCATCGTAATGATAATTTGCGGGTCTTTTTTTCTGGTTACTGGAACCTTTCACGTATTTTTCTTCGAAGTCCAAGCGCTTCGATTTTACTTTTTTACGCCAGGATCCTTTATCTTCACCGGTAAATGGATTATAAGTTTTACGGGACAACGTGAAGTAATGCCCATCGTCTTGGCTTCTCAAAGGCACAGAACATGGACCAGTTACCGCACCGAACAAAGGGCTAATCGGTAAATCGTGTATATTCGGTCTCTCTCCCAGTGTTTTCAGGTCAAGAAGTGTTGACTTGATCAACGTGACCTGAACGAAGAAGCACAGAAGACAAAGGTGACGTTATTTTCCTAATAAGCAAAGAAACAAAAGACGTGAAATAATAAACCAACGACGCTACACTCACATATACCCTATAAAAAATTTTTTTACGGAAAGTCCTACAAAATGTAAGGAACTGCGGGATGTGTAAGGAAAGTCCTACAGAATGTAAGGAAAAATGCAAATTTCCTTGCATTTTGTAGGACTTTCCTTACACATCCCACAGTTCCTTACATTTTGTAGGACTTTCCATAAAAAAATTTTTTATAGGGATAACTGGACTCAAAAACGTATTTCCCAACAAACAGCATGATTGTGTTCTCTTGGATGGGTTCAAGTAGAGATGGGCAAATAGCGTATAGTTGAACACTATACGACACTATACGATACTTTACGTATAGTGCGTATAGTGCGT